TCTATTTTCAGCATTTACGTTATAGCTCAAATAAGTAATTTTTGTGTAAGCTCTATTGTCAAAATTGTGATATCAAGTGAGTAAGAGGTTAAAACTTTGTTTTTAACTCTAAAGTACAACAATACATTGTAATAGGCTGATTGAAATCACTTACTCAACATAAACATCACTTGGAGTGTTTTTGCACACCAAGTGTTTGACATATTGCTTGAACCAAAATTACCTTACTTGTGTATCTAGTTTTGGTTTGATTTTGGATTATTGGAACTAGGAATCCGTACAACTGAAGTAAATAATTGATAAGTGTAGTTTGTGTTGTGATTCTATTTTTCCGAATTGTCATTAATCCATAGGCTTACGTGTATCCGGTTTTCCAATAACTATTCGTTTTAGACTATATTTTTCCTCGGCCGCTTCCGCACTTAAAACATTTTTAAAACCAATTTAAATTGGTAGCGCCGACTCAAATTTTAATTAGGGATCTATTCAACCCCCTTCTAGATCTGTGCCATAGTCTAACACTGAACTTGTCACCGAATCTGATAATATTAATTGTGTTATGCCTGATGTTGTTACTTTGTCACTTCCTAATTTTGATAATGCTAGATCATCCACGACTCATGGAGGTTTTGCTCCAAATGAGAATGTGGTTGAACATCCAGTTGAAGATGTGGTTGAATCACTTGTTGAAAATGTAGTGGATCCTCCTATTATAACCGAGGTTGAACAACCTAATGAGCCAGTTGAGCAAGTTCATGTTAGAAGGTCAGTAAGACAAAAGCGACCTTATCCCTGATGATTTTGTAGTTTCTCTTAGTGAGGATGTTTATGATGTTGGTATTATTATTGATCCTAAAAATTATCTAGAAGCTATTACTTGTTCTCAATCTAGCGTGTGGACAGATGCAATGCATGATGAAATGAAATCCATGATAAATAATGATGTTTGGGAACTAGTGGAGTTACCAAGAAACTATAGAGCGATTGGATGCAGGTGGATATTCAAAACAAAGAAGGACTCGAAAGGTAAAATTGAGAGGTTTAAGACAAGGCTTGTGGCTAAAGGTTTCACACAAAAGGAGGGGATTGATTTTAATGAAACTTTTTCTCCTGTTTCCACTAAAGACTCTTTTAGAATCGTTATGGCCCTTGTAGCACATTTTGACTTAGAATTGCATCAGATGGATGTTAAGACTACTTTTTTGAATGGTGATCTTAATGAGGAGGTGTACATGCAGCAGCCAGAGGGTTTTGTAAAAAGTGGTGATGAGCACTTGGTTTGTAAATTAAGAAAATCTATTTATGGTTTGAAACAGGCTTCTAGACAATGGTACTTGAAATTTGATGAGGTGGTAACTTCATTGGGTTTTGAAGAAAATAAAGTTGATCAGTGCATCTATCTTAAGGTCAGTGGGAGCAAATTCATCTTTCTTGTGTTATATGTTGATGATATTTTGCTCGCGAGTAGTGATCTTGGTCTACTTCATGAGACCAAACTTATGCTAACCAAGTTCTTTGATATGAAGGACCTTGGTGAAGCATCTTTTGTATTGGGAATTGAAATACACAGAGATAGATCACGTGGTGTGCTTGGCTTGTCACAGAGAGCTTATATTGATAGAGTTCTGGAGAGATTTAATATGCAGAACTGTAAGCCAGGAGATGTTCCAATTACTAAAGGAGACAAATTCAGTCCTAAAAATGCGATTGAGCGGGCAGAGATGAAGGGAAAATCCTTTGACAGTGCATTGGGCATCCTAATGTATGCTCAAGTATGCACTAGGCCTGACATTGCTTTCATAGTTGGCATCTTGGGACAATACCAGTCTAATCTTGGGAATGATCATTGGATTGCGGCTAAGAAAGTGATGAGATATTTGCAAAGAACTAAAGAATGTATGCTTGTTTTTGGGAGAGTTGACAACTTGGAAATAGTTGGGTATACTGACTCTGATCTTGCTAGGTGTGTTGATGATAGAAAATCTACTTCTGGTTACATTTTTATGTTGGCTGGAGGCGCGATATCATGGAAGAGTAAAAAGCAAACTCTTGTCGCCTCTTCTACTATGCAGGCAGAGTTTGTTGCTTGTTATGCTGCTGCCACTCATGTTGTTTGGTTAAGAAATTTAGTAACTGGACTTCGTATTGTTGATTCCATTGCAAAGCCACTAAAGCTTTACTGTGATAATAGTTCAGTTGTGTTCTATTCTAAGAATAATAAAACTTCTAGCGGTTCTAAGCATTTGGAATTGAATTATTTGACAGTCAGAGATCTTGTAAAGAAAAATGACATTGTTGTTGAGTATATTGATACTGATTTCATGCTAGCTGATCCCCTAACTAAGGGACTTAGGCCCATTGTGTTCAAAAACCATGTTGAGAACATGGGCATTGTGAGTTCTTTTGATGTACTTGGTTAGTGGGAGTTTGTTCTTTATGTCATTTTCTTTTATCATGTTATATTTTATTTTAGACACTTTAAATGTTGGATTGTCGAGTACTTTCTATTTTAAGCAATTGATATTACAATGATTATTATTACTATTATCATTTGTCATTGTTTATTTACATGTAAATTGCTAAATTTGGGACTCAGTGTCATCGAAACCATTGTGCCTATGGTCGACACTAGTTTGGAGTTCAAGGCATGGTTATTATTTTGAGCTCGGTGTCTTCGGGACCACTATACCGGTGGTTGATAGGGATGGCAAAAAAGTCCGTGCCCACGGGTATCCGCGGATATAATCTGTCACGGATACAATGTGGATAGCTTAATGAATATCCATGGATAAAATAAATAGATATTTAAATATCCGCTATTTAATGGATGTGGATGCGGGTTTAATGATACTCGTACCCGCGGATATCCATACCCGTTAATAAATTATAAAAAGTATTTAAATATTTTTAATTTATTATAGACGTCATTACATCTTCCAAGAAATGAGAGCTTTTAATTTATTATAGACGTCATTAAACATTTTGGATATTTTATTTGGAATCTTTTAAGCTTTTAATTTAGGAGTTAGGAAGGCAAAGTATGAATGTTAAGCAAACAATGCATAATATGGAATTTTGTAATGATTGATGAAAACTATTTGCATTATTACTTTTTGTTTTTATTTAAACAATTATTATATGGTATGATGAATTTTATTTTGTTAAAAATGAAATGTATGGATATTATGTTTGAATGTTATTATGTTTTAGTGAAAAAAGAATGAAAATAATATGATGAAGTTTAGTTGTTAAATTGAGAGCGAAAAAATATATTTTTAAAAAATAATTTTAGACAAAAAAAAATTATTCATGGATATCTGTAAATATCCGCGGATACCTTAAAACCTGTGGATTACCCGCTTAACTGATATTCGCATGGATATGGGGCAGATACGGATATCATATTTATCCAACGGGGCAGGCACGGATATCATACTATCCGCCCCCATGGATATCCATTTACATCCCTAGTGGTTGATGCCATATTGGAGCTGAAGTATGATTTTAAGCTCGGCGTTGTCAGGACCATTGTGCCGGTGGTCGACGCCATATTGGAGCTGAGGCATTATGGTTTGTAAAACCATACAATTTCTTTGTGTTTAATGCATTTGAGAGAAATTGTTAAGGACTGACGAAGAAAATAGCAAATGGTTGTTGGATCACATTAGCATGTTATTTTCTTGCCACACTCCACACTGATGACTAGTTGACGGAGTATGTAGTATTTGTAACCACGAAAGGCTTTATGTCAATGAAGGACATAATAATCGTCGTGATTCAATACTGCTTAACTTTTGTTGGATTGCATATTCAGATACTGCACCTGGAATCATGAATTTCCTTAAAATGCGACCGCATTTTAAGGAATTAGTCATTAACCCGAGAGTCGTTTTCAAAATGTATTTTAAAATAAAAATCATACAATTGATTTTGCCCAAGTGGGAGAATGTTAAATTTATCTAATATTTTAGGGGCTACAATCAATTGTGGTTTAATTTGTAAAAAACGGGTTAATCGTGATTCTGATGGGGGTGCATATATAAGTCCTTTAATTAATTAAGTGATCAATTTTTAACTAATGGCTGAGTATCTGAAACCTGATTGGTGTGGGTAAAAGTGTGGGCTTTAACCTTGGGCTCATAATGGGTAGGGGCTAGGGTTATATATATTATATGGCTAGGTCCCCTCTGTAATCACAAAAAAGAATCAGAAACATAACTGACGGCTCCATAACTTGCCCGATTGAAAGTTGTGAACGGGAGTGTGAGATACAGAGGAAGATCCGGTCATTCATCTATTCGGAATTCCGAATCATGACTTCAACAAGTAAGTATTACAAACATTTCAAAACCTCTCAAAATTGCTTTGATACCTCATAGTTTCTTTAATCGTGTTCATAAACAAGAATTGTGTCATCCGCAATATTAGTAATATTGTCAGTAAGATTTTCTTGTATGTAATGCTGACACTAAAACCATTGTAACAATTTTTGTTACTACTTTTTTAATGCTGACTTTGAGACCTGTCACGAATTCATTTTTGTCGAGACTAGTTCATTATTTTCATCAATTAAACTTTTGAATTCTATAAACGTCACTCTTGTGTGAATAACTTCAAATAAATTTCATTATTTTGATAAATAATCATGCAAAAAGTATGTACGAAAATAAATTATTTCTGTGAAACCTCATCTACATACTTAAACACAAAATAATTATCATCTACTATATTAAACAGTGAAACAATCTTTATCATCTACAAAAAATACAGTTTTATTCAGAATTTCATCTATAAATAGGACATAGCAAGCAATTTGCTAGTATCACCTCCTATCATCTCTCATTATTCTCTCAAATTTCTTTCATTGGATAGAGTATCTATATATTTTCTAACCCTAAAACTTTTCTTCAATATCATGCATTTTACTATATACTAAATTATTCTCTTAAGTTGTTTAAAATTAATTACAACTTTTTGCAACATGCAGAAAAAGGATAACTATGGCAAATCAATCATCTGAGCTAGCCATTGAACAACTCAAGAAGCTTCTCAGGTTAATTATTTTTCAAACAAGGAAAAAACACATAATTTTATGATACATAAATTATAATATATAGTATTTTTGAACATTATTGGTTACAGTGAGAAAGAGGAACTTAATGAGGTGGCCACATCAAAAATTCAAGAGCTTATAGTTGAGTTGCAGAAATTGGGATGTACTGCTGAGAAGAGAATCACTGATGGCTTTGCTCATTTCAAACACAACAACTTTGAGTAAACTTGCAAATTAAATTAAATTTTTATATCATTCCTATAGTTACTTCATATTCAATTATCAGATACAAAATACAGTATTTAATAAACCTAAAATTTTATAATTCAGATTCTGAGTTAATCAAATATAAGTTCAGTAATAAAATTTGTGTTTTATAGTTTTCTTTTATAATATGACAGCAAGTATCCGGAATTGTATGATCGACTTGCTAAAGGACAATCTCCCAAGGTGATTAATTATTAGAGCTTTTTTTTATAAATATAAGTGATTAATTATTAGAACTTGATTTATACAAAAAAAAAGCATATATTTGTCAATTTTTTTATGCTTAAATATTAATTTCAACTTTATTTGTGTGTTGTATAGTTTATGGTATTTGCTTGCTCTGACTCTAGAGTGAGTCCTTCTATTATTCTGAACTTTCAACCTGGTGAAGCTTTCATGGTCAGAAACATTGCTAACATTGTCCCTCCATTTAATCAGGTCTACTTCACTATTTACTTTTTTTTTTTAAAATATGAATTAACATCATTGAATCATTTTTAATAATTAAATTTATTTTCCACAGTTAAGATATAGTGGAGTTGGTGCAACAATTGAGTATGCTATTACAGCTCTAAAGGTACATTTACTAGCTTCTATTCATAATAAGTGTGTTAAAATTAGTCTATAACCGCAATCGCGACCGCGCTACATCGAAGTTTTTGATGTCTCTGCGACTATAACGGGGATTGAGACGAATCAATATTTATAATTTTTTCAGGTGCAAAACATCTTGGTTATTGGACATAGTCACTGCGGCGGAATATCGAGGCTAATGAGTCATCCAAAGGATGGTTCAGCTCCATAGTAAGATTTGAATTTTACATGATAATAATAGCAAAACATAAAATGCATGAAAGTTCTGAATGCTAACAATTTTTCTCTGATGGAATTGAATTTTGCACAGTGATTTCATAGATGATTGGGTGAAAATAGGTTTACCTGCCAAAATCAAGGTCCTGAAAGAATATCACAACCATGATTTCAAAGAACAATGCAAATTCTGTGAAATGGTTAGCTATGATTTCAATGAGCCATTTTATATATTTTTTTATAATTAATTAATTATATATAATTTGTACATGTTGTAGGAATCAGTGAAACACTCATTAATGAACCTGCAGACATATCCATATGTTGTTACAGGAATAAAGGACAAGAATTTAGCATTGTTGGGAGGTTACTATGATTTTGTGAATGGAGAATTCAAGCTTTGGAAGCATGAGATTTGACTATCTAAATTCTCAATGAGGGTTCAAGCTTTGAATTACTATATGCTTATAGTAATTCAAGTGACTAGTTATGATGTATTATGTGGTTTTATATATATCCTAATTAAATAAATATTATGTCTACCCTTAAAATTCCACAAATAATGTATTTAAGAATTTCTATATTTCAGAACATCCCCAATAATAGTATTATAGTACTTGGGAGAGAGAAGAGTATGTATGTTACTCTCTTTTCTTTTTTTACATGTTGCATATGTATTAAAGATGTGGTTTTATTTGGTTGTATTTCTAAAGTTTTATATGATATTAATTATTGCTTTGTCAATTATATTATTGAATATTCATTATTACAAAGAGAAAAAAATAAAAAATAAAAATGATAAAAAATATACTTTTTACAAGTGGTATTATAAAAAAAATTATAAAACTTATTCTTAATATAATTGTTAATTACAATGATAGCCATTCAACCATCACTTATACAAAAATTATATTCTTTTAACAAAAATTTATCTTGCTGAACTAACCTGCCAAAATACAAATAAAAGCAATATGTTTTGGTTGTACGCAGGATCTATTCTAGATAATTGGATTAGGTCAAAAAGATCTTGATCTTTTTAAGTATGTCATTTTTTAAATTTTATCTTATTTGATCAATTAAGATAGTTCGACTAACTAGTATACGGAGCCGAGCGGAAGACGCGGATAGACATATAGGTAAAATCTAAAGGTGTATCTACGAATGTGAGAGATTTTGTACGTTGATAACAAGGAAAAATCTCACTAATTCTTTCTACATTCATGTTAAGATCAAAAAAAGGACCAACAAAAGTATGAGTAACATAAAAAATGTTAAAAGGGATTAATACCTGAGACATCTAAATTAGGATTTTCTCTTTCTATAGAAGAGGTTCATAAACATATAGTTGATTTTCCGTAAGAATGGGTGTGGTAATAGATGCAGAAGAAGAAACTTCTGGTCTAATGTTGATTCAGACGTCATTTGAGTTAAAATGAGTAGAGGTTGTCAAGAGAAAAAGATGAAGAGAAAACTATTCATTTTCTTAATTTTTCTTTAAAGAAAATATATCAGAAAAGGTTTTTGTTGACAAATGTCCCCGCGAAGGATGAGAAAATGAAAACTTGGGATTTTGTGTGACCCACTTTTTTTAGGAAATCAAAACCATGATTATTTTTTCTAAACTTGCACGTCTCGAAAAGACGTTTATGTAATAGCCATGATGATAGTGACGTCACCGCACGACTTTGAATAGTGGTGGGAACTTCAAAAACACTACTTGTCTCTCAAGATGAATCGAAAGTGACATTTTTAGGAGGCAATTTGTTAGCCAAGAAATTTCAATGTACTAACTCGACAAAGGAATTAGATGAAATTTATGCATAAGTGTAAGGCAAGATTTCATGCCTTTCGACCAGAGACAGTTTGGGACAAAACATCAATGTTTGACATACTAAGGATTTGGTTTGGGACTTAGTGAAATTTCCAAAGTTAGTTGAGATCGAAAGAGATTTGACCAAAGCAAATTCAAAATCAAACCAAATAACTATTTTTTTTATCTTATCCAAAAAACAGAAGGCACATGGAGATCAATTGAAGGAAAGTAAAGCATGCAGAAGTGATGTGTCGATTGGAAGATAGTTGGACGTTGAAGACAATTTATTTCACAGTACTATAAATAGGAATTCTAGCGTTAGGATTTGGAGTGGCAAATCATTGTAAATTTTAATACAAAGTCACATTGTAAATTTTAATACAAAGTCAAAGTACACATACCCAAGTGAGAAACGAATCTCTGAAGAAAATGTGCTTACCCAACAACTTTTACTTATGCAGATAAGGTTTTTCTATGTTATCTACATTTATTTGTCTTATTTTCATTCAAGTTATCAATTTTGACTTTGTCAAAATTGTTGTTACCTTTACTTTCAAATTTAATTTTTTTTCATAATAGTCAACATCAAACACTTGACAACATTAATGCACACCTTTTTCTCTAAAATTTTGCACAACATGCCCCATGATTTATAAGTTGGTCCTTTAAGCAATAAATCTAAAACTAAGTGATTGTTTGTCAAAATCACCGGTGAACAACTTGCCAATTTCACTATCAGGTTTCAACTTTAGTTTGTAAATCCACCTTACATCAATTGCTTTCTTGCTTGAGTTCTCAACCAGCTCCCATGTTTGATTTTTCTCAATGGTCTTGAGTTCCTCAAACATTGCAACTTTTCAATTTTCATCTTGCGGGGTTTCCACATGATTGGTTGGTTGTGACCCACCAGCATTGCTTCTTCAATCAACTTATCATTTTCCCTGATTGCTTGATCAAGAAATTTCTCATAGTCATTCATCCTGACTAATGCAGCTCTAGTTCTACTTGATCTTCTCACTCTTTGGGTTTGTGCAGGCTCAGCTGGTATAATATGTTCCTCATCATGCAGATTAGTTTTGATGTGGCTTAAACTTTCAACTTCGTGCACTGTATTTTCTAAAATTTTTAAGTAATTCTAACCTCTGTTTTTATTAAACTCCACATCTTTACAAATCACCACCTTATTCTTAGTTGGTGAGAACAACTTGTAGGCAACTGTTGAATGATATCCAACCATAACCATAGTTTGGTTTCTATCATCCAACTTTTTTTTAAGTTGTTTAGGAACATGTCTAAAGCATAATGAACCAAAAATCTTGAAACTCAAAATCGATCACTAATTTGAAAAAAAAAATAATTAATATGATATATTTTGAAAAATTAAGAAATCAATATGAATTTTTTAAAATTAAGGGAGTAAAATGAATTCTAAAATTAAAATGCGAGACTAAAAAAATGTTAAACCTAAATTTATGGTTACTTGAATTTAATTGGCTTGAATGTTTAGATTATTTTCGCTCAGTAACTAATATGTGTTTCTTTTTAAAATCTTTCTCATCTTGTGACGCACAAAGAAATGAAACAAGTATATGAAACAAGTATATCGCTCTTCTAGTGAAATAGAATATGGAGCTTTAGGTTTAGCCACTTGTAAAATCCAATGGCTTTTTTACTAACATTTTGCTTTTAAAAGTTTTTTTAAGAGGTAAGTTGCACATATCCAGCTATAATTGGTACTAGTTTTTTTTTATCGATTACGTTTTTAGTCCCCTCATTCTTTTTGTTTCTTATTCAATAAATTATTTTCATGAAAAAAAATGTTCCATATTATTATTCTCTATTGTGAGAATCAAAACATTTTTCAATATAACACTCAAAGCACTTTACATATAACACATTTAAAAATCGATTGTTATTTTATGTGGTAAAATGCCAGCAGAAATCCTTAATCTCCTACATGTAACTTCACAAGAACAACTACAACAAGCCAACTTCTTATTACTTTATATTTATTTTTAAAAGAGTGTGTAGATACTTTCAGCAAATAGAATTCGTATTTTCAATAAGTAGAGCACCATAAACAAGATGAATAGTTTTTCTAAAAATAGAAAGGGGAACAATGATTTAGTGGGGAGCTCCCTATTTTAGAAAGAAAAAATTCATATTGTGTGGGGATAACTCTATAGAAGTAGGAAATAGTTTTGTAGTGGGGATCGCTCTATACCATATCCCAGAGATAGAATCTTTTCTTGATATATGAAATAAACAGATAGAATCTTTTCTTGATATATGAAATAAAACAAAAGAGGAAAAAAATGTTGTATACACAAATAAGAGGCTAATCTTTATTGACTTACAACAAACTACTATCATACAAATACAAATATTATAGCTCTCATTAAATTTTATCATAAATTATTACACTCTTCAATAATTCCATTTTACTCCATTAATTGTAACACTCTTCAATCATACCATATTATTAACACTGTCGGGATGCGCTTATTCCTTCAAATTTTCGGACTGTGTTCGTGTAAAGCATCAAATAATCGAGTTTCTATAAAGAAAACCTTATCAGGCATTGATGACGAGGTTGTTTAAAGTGCGAGCATTGCCATCAAAAAGGTTTTCTAGTGACCTGACTTTTCTGTTCCGAACTCTACCGGCTTCCTTCAACAACTCGCTCAACCTTCTCTTCTCATCATCCACGTCGGGATTTGCTGTACCAAGCTTTTCTTCCCTCATACTAACAACATGCTCCAGAATTTGAATTGCATCATCGAGCCTGAAATAGAATATCAAACCCCGTGAGGAGGAAAGAACTTAGACGCCCCAAACTATATATTGGATATTCGTAATCTAAAGTTCGATGTCATAAAGAAGCAAACAGTTTTTAGTTTTGCAAGGTCTCAGAAGGTGAATCAAATTCACCCTTCTCTAATGGGTCTAGTACAAGTTGTTGGTGTCCGTGTGGTTGGTGTGCACGAGTGTCGTAAACCCCAAAATAATGAGTACGATTCCTACTGATATAAAAAACCCATCCCTCACTAAAGGCTTCAACATTCAAGCTATAAATGGTTTCTCTAACAAAAGCTTAAGGTGAAAGGAAGTCTATTAATTTATAACAAATTACTATTAACCTGCTTTGCATTATATCTTAGTAAGTTGAAAGTATTTGTTAGCAGAAGCGTAAACACAAAAAATGATACCTTCCAATTGCATCATATGTGCCTGCAAGATTACTACATACTCCAAGCGTTTCAGGGTGATAAGGTCCCAACTCTTGTTCCAAAATACTCTTTGCTTCCTCAAACAATTCTGTAGCCTCACTTAAGGCATAACGCTGCACACAGGCGAGTCCCAGTTGATTAAGAGCTATACCAAAAAAGGATGATTTCTTCTCTCCAATAGCACGAAGCTTTGAAATAGCATTTTTCAAAGTGTTGTAAGACTCAGTGTAGTTTCCCAACATGTAGTTCATGACCCCAATCTGAGCTTCAATTCCTGCTATTGCGCCTTGCTGACCAGGCGCATCATTATATATCTCCAATGCTTTCTGCAGTAACTTGAGTGCCTGTTCAACCTCATTCATTGATTCGTAGATAC